TAACTTTTCCATTTTCGTTTCAGATTTTTCATAAGAAATTAAACATCGTAGATAAAGTTGAGGTCTGCGTTTTCCTCTGCTTCATTTCCCTCCCTCCACATAGACAACTTCCATTATAAATTTTATGGTAATCATTCAAAGCCATTTTTAATTTTTATCACGTTTAAATATGTGTATAGATACATACACTTAGTGCTGTTTTGGGGTATTTTAATTTACATAAACTTATAGCACTAATGTTCTCCAAGTCACTTTTCTCATTCAACATTACTTTTTGATGATCTGTGTTTTAACTGTCCTATGTTATTTCCTTGAATATATACATTATTAATATACAATATAGACATTTTTTCATTTTCCTACTGATGAACATTTGGATTGTTTCAACTTTTTACTGTTACATAAAATATATCCTTCTATGGGTATCCTTGTGCATATATGCAAGAATGTCTTTAAGATATATGCTGGATCATGCAGTAGGAATACTATTTGCCAAATTATACCAATTTACACTCTCATTAGCAGTGATGAATTCTCACCAACACTAGATGTAGTCAGACTTTTATTTTTTGCCTGTGAAGGGTGTGACTATAATTTACATTTAAATTAAATGTAAATTAAAGAGGTGGTGCATCTTTTCATGTTCATTAAACCTTATTTCCTCTTCTGTGAATTGCCCATTCTTATCTTTTATAAAATTTCCTATTGGATTTTCTTTCTCTCAATGATGTGTGCACCTTTAAATAGTCTATTCATTTAACCTGTATGTATATAGCAAATACCTTCTCTTAGGTTGACACTTGTCTTTGTTTACGGGGTTTTTGTCCTCTAGGTTTTAATTTTAACATAGTCAAATTTATCAAATTTTGTTAATGATCTCTGCTATTTGTATATTGCATAAGAAATCCTTCCCTCTACTGAGGGAAGTTTTCATAGTTTTAGTTTCATTTTACACATCCTTTTCTTTAAAAAAAATTTTTTTTTAATTCAGTTATTGCTGGGGTATAGTAACACTATTGACTTTTATAGAGCAATTTTGTATTCAAAAACCTTATTGAATTACATCATTCTAATATTTTGTCTGTAAATCCTCCAGAATTTTCTGTGTAGACTTACTGTATACAAACACTAACGTTTAAAAATCTATTTTATTTAACATCAACGTTTTAAAACTTAACCTTTAATATGGAAAATTTCAAATAAACAAGAGATAAGAAACTGTCACTTGCAGGAATTCCCTGGTGGTCCAGTGGTTAAGACTCTGCCCTTTCAGGGTTGAGCACTTTCACTGCCTCACTGCTGATGTCGGGTTCAATCCCTGGTTAGGCAACTAAGATCCTGCTGTGCGGTGCGGCCAAAAAAAAAAGAATTTTTCATTTGTCCTGTATAATTTCTCACTTTGTGATTCTGCTGATTGTAATATCTAGGAGCTTGATTGGTTTCGTTTCCTCATTTGTTTTTGCAAAAAATTTTTCTGGCGACTTTTTTTTAAATACAAGGAAACATTTTCAATTATCCTTAAGAAATGTGCTGTTTGTAGTTTTCTTTTTTTATATGCACATTTCCTTCCATTCTAGTTACCTTTTTTTGTCATAAATTTTGAATGTTATCAAATACTTTTTCTTTCATTTACTCATTTGCTTTCAACTTAAACCCTTGGCAGAGAAATAAAATTTGAAAGAATTTTATGTCTAGATCCATACCTAGGACTTTACTCTGGCATCTGGTAATGTCTCTTCCCACAGGTTAAGAATCCATGATGCCAAAGTGATGTGCTCAGCCAGGACACATGATCCCTTTCTAGACACACTTCTGACAACCAACTAGCCCAACCAAATAGCTCCAAGCCTTGCTCAGGCCTCTGACAGAACTGTGCCAATACTGTATGCCAGGAGTGTAGACAGAGCTTAGAAATGTGAGGTGGGGAGTCCACATATACATATACACCAGGGTCCGCATGAACAAATCCAGGGGTGGAGAAAGGGGGGCAGTCTGTAGGTCAGGGGCCAACTCTCACTGCATGGCCATATTTTGTCATGAAACTCCATGAAGTCAGAGAATTCTAAATTCAAACCTTGCCTTTCAGGTCATTATGAAGATATATTTGTCAAGAGAACAAAACATTTTAATAGTTTGGTAGCTTTATTTATAACTTTTAAGAGAAATAGAATGTAGGCCTCAATTTGTACCCTGCAAATGTTGGTGGGATGCCTGACTAGTGAATTTATAGCTTAGTTTAAAAATGCATTTCATCAGTACTATTAGATTTTACAATCTGATTGACATTTTTAGTATGACATCTTTAAGACAAATACCACCCTGAACAGTGAACCCAAATATTAGAAATATAGAGGTTAAAAGCTCAGATTTTGGAGTAAGCCAAATCTTGCTTCTAATCTAGGTTCATTTGTTATGTAACTTTGAGGAAGTGACTTAATCTTTCTGAGCCTCAATTTCACCTGTAAAATGGGAATAATAGGATCTATCTCACAGCTATTTTGAGGATTAAATCAAATACACATTAAGTGTTTAGGATAGTGACTGGCAGGTAAGTGCTCAATAAACTGCAGCTATTTTAAGGGAAAGGTTTTTTTTTTTAAGAATGCTAATTTTTAAAAAATATTTATTTGGCTGCGTCGGGTCTTAGGTGCAGCACGCGGGATCCTCTCTAATTGTGGCGCACGGGCTCTAGAGTGCATGAGCTCAGTAGTTGTGGCATGTGGGCTCCAGAGCCTGCGGGCTTTGTTGCTCTGCAGCACGTGGAATCTTAGTTCGCCCATCAGAGATTGAACCCACATCCCCTGCACTGTAAGGTGGATTTTTAACCACTGCACCACCAGGGAAGTCCCTTTAAGGGAAAATGTTGACTGCTACTAGCTAGGCACTATACTAAGTTCTTTATCTGCAGTGTATCACAAAAATCCTTGTAATAACCCAGATACTACTGTTATCTCCATTTTATGTAAAAAGAAATTAAAGCTAATGCAAATGATCTTTCAAACAACCCTGTCAGGACAGCAGAACATATATTAATCCCATTTTGTGAAGATGAGAAATGACTCCCAATTTTCAAAAGACCTGCTCACTTCCAGGAAGATGGTGATCAGTAGAGCCAGAATTATTAGAGCCACTCTCTGACCTCTACTTCAGTACTGTTTTCACTGTACCACACTGCCTCTGAAGTAAGGTTAATATTGCTATTTTCAACAAATGTGTAAATTCAAATGTTTTACATTGATATTCCTAAATATTAAAAAGGATTCCTTTTTTATTTTGAGAACAAAGGCATACTGGATTTACCCCACCCCCAAAATAAAACATTAAAAGACTTTAAATCTGAAAGTCTTGCTTAGTGGATGTTTCACAAAACTTCAAAATTTACATAAAGAAAAGTCAAGTATCCCAAAATCATTCCTCATTGGCAAATACCAATTATCTTTCAAAAAGGATACTATTTTGTCAATGTCTCCTGGCTAGAATATAAATTACAAGGCAGAGATTTTATCTAGTTTGTTCAATGTATCACCTAGAATTGTGTACATAAAAGGTGCTTAGTAAATATTTACTGAATTAACAATTATAAATTCAAATAAAATCTATGTCGTTTTCTCTGTGATAGATGCCACAATGTTATGGACAGGTATTAGCTTGAACCATATACAAAACTGCTGCTACTCAGTTACTTTTCACCTACAAAGAGGCAATTTCATATGGTTCAACCTAATTGTTTTTAAAAAGCTTTCTGGAGTATAACATTACAAAGTAAAGAAGTAAACAGATATTGTGAAAGCTAAGACAGAAATGGAGAAATTTTTTCTCCTAAGAAAAATTTATTATACGAAAGCTGCCAAAGGCTTCAGGTCCTATGCTGAGATATTCTCAAGAATCATCTATAACACTTCCACACTTTTAAAGAGGATCATGATTCACATTTTTCTGCATTTAAAATAACTCCCGTTTTGGTGTTCATGAACATATACACTCACACGTGTAAATATGAAAAACATATTAAGAACATGGACTATATTTCTCTTTATTAGCTAATTCTGATTTCATGTAAATGTTCAAGTATCTAATTAGGTATAATTCTAACTACTATCAATGAGTAAAATAAATTCCAGTCTCCAGAGATCACATTAAAAAGCTAATCTGGGGGCTTCCCTGGTGGCGCAGTGGTCGAGAGTCCGCCTGCTGATGCAGGGGACACGGGTTCGTACCCCGGTCCGGGAAGATCCCACATGCCGCGGAGGGGCTGGGCCCGTGAGCCACGGCCGCTGAGCCTGCATATCCGGAGCCTGTGCTCCGCAACGGGAGAGGCCACAACAAGAGCCACCACACCCAAAAAAAAAAAAAAAAAAAACTAATCTGGACATATTACCTTTTCCAATACACTAACACATCCAGCTAAAAAACGTGATTGATATGTAGTTACTCCACATTTAATTTTCTTCATCACTAGAAATATACCTAACATTAATACATTTCTTTAAGTAGATTACTTCAAAAAGTATCATAGGAAAACCACATTTTAGTCAGTGTTTTACTGATGTCCTTTTCTTCTACATTTCCAAGAAAAACCCAGACTAATGTAGCTTTACTAATGTCCCTTAAAAGAGAGAAACAGAAATGTCAAAATATGTCCAAACAAATCTGTTTTACATTTCTAGAAATAAAAGAATGTCACTTAAACATGACAGTTTCTAATTTTTATACATAATTTTGTCCATCTAGACCTTAAGACTACGTAACTAACATTCCAAAAATCACAACTTTTAAATATATATGAAATAAATAAAGTATCTGGGTTATAAAAGATTTTAATATCAAATAAAGTATAATTTACATGATTAAAAGGTTTTGATTTCCATTCTCCTTAGTGTAAGAAGCTGACAAAGTATAGTTTCTAAGTCAAATGATTTTTATCTTCTCATATTTCAAATGAAATGTTAATGGCCTAAAACCAAACAATCTGCCATGAATGACAATAAGCAAGGGTAGCACAAGTTCATATTTTCCTTGTTTGTGATCCCCAAACTGGCAGCATTTTCATTTCATCCACTCTGTTCTTATGTATTTGAAAAGCAGGTGTTATCCATCTACCACATGAGCACTGTTCACCATACCAGTTGAAAGAACCCAACTTGGCACTGCATTTGGGGCAAAGAAGCTGAAATAAAATAAATGTGTTACTTCATTCATTCACTTTTATACAAAACAAATAATTATCTTTGGTAATATATGATATAAAAACAGGTAAGACATGGCTCATACCTTCAAGGAGTTGATGGTCTAATCAGTGAGATGCAATGGCAATTTACTGTAATAGATAGTAGACTACAATAATTGTGTAAGAAGTATGTTGTACTCTGGGAGTTTAGAGGAGGAATAGATTAATTCCAGCATTAAGGGAGAAAGGTGAAGGTTGAGATGTGAAACAGAAGGTTTTGTGACTGTTTTGTGACTGTGGCACATGTGTTGACTTTTAAATCATCGACGAGCTATATGGAAAGTCTGGGCATAGAACTCAGAAACTAGAATTGATTACATAAATATCTTAAATTTTAGTTTGACAAAATATACCACATTCCTCAAAACAATTAAACATAGAGTTACTATATGATCCAGTAATTCCACTTCTAGGTATATACCCCAAAGAGATAAAAGCAGGGACTCAAAACAGATATTTGTATACGCATGTTCATAGCAGCACTATTCACAATACCTGAAGGGAAGAAGCAACCCAAATGTCCACGGATAGATGAACGGATAAACAAAATGTGGGGCTTCCCTGGTGGCACAGTGGTTGAGAGTCCATCTGCCGATGCAGGGGACACGGGTTCGTGCCCCAGTCCAGGAAGATCCCACATGCCGTGGAGCGGCTAGGCCCGTGAGCCATGGCTGCTGAGCCTGCGCGTCCGGAGCCTGTGCTCCGCAACGGGAGAGGCCACAACAGTGAGAGGCCCGCGTACCACACACAAAAAAAATGTGGTAGCCTATACATAAAATGGAATATTATTCAGCACTAAAAAGGAAGGAAACTCTGATACATGCTATAACATGGATGAACCTTGAGGACATTATGCCAAGTGCGATAATCCAGTCACAAAAGGACAAAAAGATGTGTAATTCCACTTTATGAGGCACCTGGAGTAGTCAAATTCATAAAGACAGAAAGTAGAATGGTGGTTGCCAGGGCCTGGTGGGGGTGGTATGGGGAATTAGTGTTTAATGGGTATGGCATTTCAGTTGGGGAAGATGGTGGTGACGGTTGCACAACAATGTGAATGTTCTCAAGGCTACTGAATTACACACTTAAAAATAGTTAAAATGGTAAATTTATGTTATGAATATTTTACAATTTAAAAAACCCACATTCACAATATATGTATGTCATTTATGCTGTATACCTTCAACTTATACACTGCTGTATGTCAATTATATCTCAAAAAGCTGAAGAAAAAAATGTATCACAAAGCTGAGATAAGCAACAGACTGGAGAAAATATCTGCAACATATTACACGAAACATTAACTCTAGACTATATAAAGAACTCCTACAAATCCGTTAGAAAAAGACAAAACCCACAGAAAAATGGGCCAAGGACATGAAGGAAATTTACTGTGAAAAAAAATATAAATGGCTCATAAGTATATAAAGATGTTGGTCTCAGTAGTAGTCATGGAGATTCAAATTAAAACATTATAGGATTAACATTTTTCATCTCACAAACTGACAGACTGACAAAACCTTACCAATTTTACAATATCCATTATGTCAAGGGTATGGGGAAATGAGTACATGCATTCAACATTAGTGAAAGGCAAATTTGTATGGACATTGTTAATGTCAGCCCAGACTATCAGTAATATTTAAAATGTACACACTCCTCAAGCCAGGAATTCCACTTTTAGGTATATATTCTATAAGAAAATTCAAGTAAGCGTACAAAGAAGTATGCACAAATGTGATCTAGAATATTTCACAAAAATGCCTTTATCTTGTGTTTTCCGGGTTAAATAAAAGCAGCAGGGGAATTCCCTGGCAGTCCAGTGGTTAAGACTCCACACTGCCACTGCTGAGGGCCCAGGTTCAATCCCTGGTTGGGGAACTAGGATCCCACAAGCTGCAAGGCACGCCCCAAAAAACAATAAACAAAAGTAGCAAGGCAAAAGCACAAGCCACAAAAGAAAAAAAACTGATAAAGTGGACTTCAACAAATAACATCATCAAGAATGGGAAGTGAGTGCTGTACAAGGTTTATTTGGTAGCGATAAAAATGGTGATAGCTGCAAAAACCTCCGTGAATATACTAAAAAACACTGAACTGTACACTTTCAATGGGTAAATTATATGGTAAGTGAATTATACCTCAATAAAGCAGCATTATCTGAAACCATGGGTTTGAAAATAGGGTACCTCTTTCTACGCAAGACACTAACTAATGCAAACTAAGTTTCCTCACATATAAAATGTGAATAGATATGTGCTCGATTTTATAAAGTTATTGTATTTTTCAAATAAAATAATACAGTGAAAAGGTTTCATAAAATACTCACCATACAAACTTTAAACATCATTATATCTTAGATTTAGAATATCTTTAGATTAATATCATGTAAACCTAAAGGAGAATTGTGGCTGTCACAGGATGCTCACATGAGCTGCATTCTTTAGAATTAACAGGAAATGAAAAAAAATCTCACAACAAACATACAAAACTGAAAGATCAAGAAAACAAATACACAGAGCCAAAAGACAAAAAAAGGAAGATTAAGAAGAAGTTTAAAATCTAATTTTAAAATCCTTGATTTGCCCTACTTCTTACAAAGTTCAAGTTTTTTAAATATATTCTAATTAGTTAGTCTTAATTTGAAAAAATACAAATAATACCCTTAAAAGGAATTAATGAACTTAGACCAACAGCTTTCCACCAAAAGTGGTTCACTATTTTACATCAGCTGGTTTTTATTTGACTAATTTATCTTTGATAAAGTCTGGTCTACATTAGGAAGATATTAAACTTTAGAAAGAAAGCAGTTAAGATGGAGTAAAATGCTAGTTAAAATATGGTTTAAAATGAAAGGAACAAAATATAGATGACACAATAAAACTGTAGAAAGTAAAATGTGTTCTCACCTGTCCATCCATCACTCCCAGCAAAGTGGATTCCATCCACTGCACAGGTTCAATGAAGTAAGATGTACATTGAGCCTGACTCCCTGTAGTAAGCATGAAGGATGGTGTCATCCTCTTGTGGGCAAAGGCTATAGGACCACTTCCTTCATTATGATCCAAAATGCTAGAACTTCGAAATAAAGATCGCCTGCAACCCCCAAACAAACAAAAACATTAATGACTTGCAAAAGGATGAAAAAATAGATTAAATGTGCAGTATTTCTCAGGGGGCAAATTAATAGAACATTGATTATGCTACTTTAATTTTCAATAACTTCTACAAGTAACCGCATTACTTTTATTTTTAAGAATTCATATTCTTGAAACCAGAATTGAATATGAAATTTCTGTATTATTCAATTAAACAAATTCCTCCTACAAGATTTTAAGAAACTGAAACTTTCAGTACCTTTCAGCTACTGAGACAAAGTAAAATCTCCAGATACAAAATATTTTACCTGCACTTTCTACATTTGTAGAGCACCCCATCTTTCAATCCTTGTGTAATGGCAGATGGGTCAACAGCAAAGAGTTCTTGAGGTAAGTTCTGCAATTCTACATGACACAAAATGTATCCATTTGTCAAAATCAACTCTGAATTTTCAGACAAAATTCAGCTAATGTCAAATTGAGGCAAGTAGTGCTAACTTCAGAAATTAAAAAATATATATATTCTCCATTGTTGAGAAATCAGGATGAGGTAGGAGGGCACAGTGATCAAGCCCTTGGGTTCCAGGCACAGACTGCCTGAGTTCAAATTCAAGCCAGCCACTTACAAACCTTGTGACCCTGAACAAGCTATTCCTTGCTAAGCCATGGTTTCAAAAGGAAATAAAAGTACCTCTCTCAAGGGATCGCTGGAAAAAGGGATAATGCACCTGAAACATTTGGTGTCAGAGTAAACAGCATCTAGAAAGGACCAAACACATACTACCAATTATTACTCACCTGGATACTTCTCTGTAACCTTCTGTAAACGATACTGTTTATAAATTGCACTAGAGGTATCTACTTCACATCCCATTGCCTGGTATAATTTCAGTTGCCACTCAAACCCCTCATTCATCCTGCAAGGACAAACAAACATAGAGTTAATTTTTCTTTAAATAAATAAAATCACATCACAAAAGCAGAATTATTAGTACGGCAAAGAACTCACTTAGCCTCTGGTTTGATAGTCTTAAGGTTTTCATAGGCTTTTTCAAAGGTAAGTTGGTCAGTCTTCATCATAAAAGCAGTCATTACAGCCACACTTCGACTGACCCCTGCGTGGCTGAAAAAGAAACCTTTAAAATATCAAATAGCACCAATTTAAAAAAACCCAGCCCCCCATTAATGGTAAAGTTCAGGTCCACTTGTCTGCTTCTTCTACTCAAATAAACCCTTTGCCTCCGAATTACTACTGCTGTACAAAAGAATTATTCCCTTATCTCCTTATTCATTTTGAATTCTGAACCATATGAAGGTATTACCTATTCAAAAATAATTACACTAATTTTTTTTAACATTTTATAATGGCTTCAGAAAAAATCTAAACTCCTTTGCTGGCTTTAAGAGCCCTGGAGATCTGATCTCAGACTTCTTTCCCTTTTATCACTACCTTATGTCCTTTATGGAATATTTAGAATAAATGCTGGCAGTAAAAGTGCTGGCTCAATAAATGTAAACTATCGTTATTACACTCTTTTTGCCATTGCTATCACCTACTCCATCTTTCCTCTAGGAATGGCTTAGGGATCCTTTACGTCCTAACCAATTTTTCTCTCCCCACATTTCCCCTACATCAGCCACCCCGCCTCAAACAAAAGCAATGAAAATAATTTCCTCTTCCTCTGAAGTCTGAATAACCTTAACCTTTGTTAATCTCTTACTACACACCTCGCATCCTAGTCTGCATTACAATAATCTGGGTATGTGTGTGGCTTCTCGTGAACAGATTTAAACTCTGTAGGTTCAGGGACTTTGTCATTTACCTGAAGATTCCTCCTACCTCCGAAACAAAACTCAGCGGCTGCAGAATGAACCAACACAAACTGAACGAATGAAAGCCTGTACGCCATCAGGGGCCCGCCTCCTGCCCGATCCTCTCTCAGACACAAGCCTGTGCGAGAGGGAGGAGGAGAAGGTTCTAGTGGCTGACAGCCCCTTCGTCCTCTTCTGGGGCCTGGGAGAAGGGTGAGGGGGGCAGGCTGGAAGCGTGGCGGGGTTGCTCTCCCCACGGACCCGGCCACTCACCAATGCACCAGCACCGCGCGGCCCTCGGCGCGGGCCTGGCCGATGAAGGCCACGCACCGGTCCAGATGGCTAAGCAGGTCGGTCTCGGGTTTGTCCAGCGCTGGCACGAAGAGACTCCGTAGACCCTCGACCCCAGCCCCCGTGTTGAAGTCGGTCTCCTCCGAGTCCACCGTCAGCACTGCCGTGATGCCCGCCTCCCTCAGGTGGTCCGGCTCCGCGACTGCCGCAGCTCCACCCAGGAACAGCCCCGGCCGCACCTCCAGCATGTGCTCAGCGGAGCTGGCCCGGGTCCGGCTGCCGGCCGTACGCTCACATCCATGGCTCCCGTTCTGAGGCTGCAACATGGCGGCGCCCGGAGGCCAGACCGAGGAGGGCCCTACCATCGAGTAGGGAGTCGGCTAGAACGTCCTTCATCTAGGCCCACCGGCCTGAGTTGCGCCGCCGCTCCCTCGGGGGACCACGTCGACCGCGGGAATGTGGATTTACTGGGGGAAGGTGACGTTACTGCGGCTGGGGCGGAGCTAAACCCCGTTCAGAACCACTTCTGGACCCTTGTCTCTACCCGGCTCCTCCAACTTGGTGGGATAGGATAAACTAACGCTAATACAGGGCTTCTCAGGCTCTTAGTGTTGAGATTTTCTGGATTTTCTGCAGGAGCAGAAAATGGACTCAAACTGAAATGATGGTCCCACCAACTGAATCAGCAGCATAACTTTATGCGTTTGAAATAAAACATTTTTTCAACGCTTATGAAGCTATTTGTTTGTAGTTCTTCTCTTGGGACTATTTTTCCTTTTTTTCTTCTTTTTGTTCCGTTTTTTATTGGTATGTGAATCCTTTTCTTGTTGATGTATACTGTTCTATATATTTGAAGATATTAATCCCATGGTTTTGTGTGTCAGTGCCCTCCAGCCAAAGACCACCAAGAATCCACCTGTAGTTAAGTAAATTGGGTTTATTACTCAACCATGAACTGGAGAATTTCGGGAAATCTAGGTAAGAGAGTGTTAGGAAGATCCTATTACAGGATTTGAGCTTGTATTAGATGAGTTTGGGCTAAGGGTCTAAGGGACTAAGCGTCTAAAGAAGCAGGACTTTGCTCTGGATTGGATGCTGTCAGGAAGTGGGGGTGATTCTATGACTGGGTATCTTAATAAATCTTACCTAAGGGAGGAAAGGCTAGAGAGACACTAAAGCTGTAATTGGTCAAGGAGTAGCAGTCAGTCATGGTCCTGACATAAAGACTGAAACATGTTTGGCATTTTGAAGTTGGGCAATGTTCCTGTTTTATCTGTGTTCGGACATGATCACGGTGGTCTTGTTTTTGTTTTAAGGGCATAAAAAGATTTATTACTCACATAATGAGGCTTTCTGGAGATAGCAGGGTGACTCACAAGTAGGTCCAAAACTGAATTGAGAAAGCAGAGACAGAAAACTGGCTTGCGGTTTTTATTGCTGTTAGAGTATGGGCCCAGAGTGAGGATTCCCACGTGAGCAGGGAATTTCATGGTGGTCTTGTTTTTGTCTTTCTTCATCATGAGCTCAGTGTTGCCTTGTCTGGGGTTGATGTCCTGTGAAACTGTTTATATTCAGCAGG